TCCAGCGGCCCCAATTCAGTTTCTTGGCTCAATAAAAGAAACGCTTGGAGGTACGTTCTTTGTGCCCTCGTCAGATAAGTCGTGCTCGATGGAGGGTTAACAAAACAAAGCGTGGGAGGGTGGTCGAGCTCGGTCGACTTGTTTAGGAAATAGAAGAAGTTGGCCGTGACACTAGGACACCTGATATATCCGTTGATTTTTCTTCGCCGCTCCAGACATCGAACCATCTTCTTTCAAATTGCTCGAGCTGATATTTGTCAACCTTCTTTCTTCTCCTCGTTCTTCCTTTTTCAGAAATAAAATTCAACGTATGGTGGAATAAATGGTAGAAAAAAAAAATTAAATAATAATTTGATATTTTTATTTCTTGTCTATAATTTTACAAAGTACAGAGAATAATATTATGTAGATAAAAGGTACAAAATTAAATAATTGATATTTTTATTTCATGTCATAATTTTACAAAGTACAGTACAGAGAATTGTTAATATTACAGAGATATAGATATTAAAATTAATTCCATCTGAATTATATCGATTATTAAAATAATTAAAATTTAAATTATTTTAATTAAATTAATTAGATAATTAAAATTTCAAATTTGACGATTTTTATATTTTAAATATTTTGAGAAATATTTTTTTCCCAGGATATTTAAATGTATATTTATACAGGCTTATTTTAATCCTGGTAAACTTCGCATTTATGCACGCAATATTATACGGAATATCGTTAATTTGGATTAATCATTAACGAATCAAAACGAGTCCGATAAAAACTCGTTTCGCGAAATTATAATAAACTATATCTGCTCAATTTTTCATAATTTTTTAACTTCGCTTTATTTTCATTTATTTCCTCCGCCGATAGGATTATTTCCGAGAGGAGAGGGGAGACGAAGAAAAAGAGGGAGAGACGATTGGCAAAACATTCTCGAATACCTTCTCGCACGGAAAATAACCGAGCTCTCGAGAACAATCGATTATCCCCATTCGTGAGTAGTAGCCTATTCTTCAATTACATCGACCGAACGTAATTTCCTCCCTCCTTAGATTTAACGAGTGAAAGTTACAGCCACCATCCACCTTCCTTCATCGGGCACAATTTCCTGCCCTCCTCCTCGCCCCCGTCTTCTCTCACCGGCCACCATCCAGTTCCAGTTCCAGTTCCACGACTGGGTCCATCCCTCGATTGTCCATTACAGTCCACGTCATCCCCCGGTGTTCATACAATTAGATTGAAATTCCGGTTTATACACCGGTGGACGGACACGGTTTGGAGAATCGGTAACCAATCGATGGACCAAAGTTGGCCCAGCGTTCCGCGACACTCTGCAAATTGCTCGGCTGGGACGTGGACATCAACAAAGGGGTAATCTCATGCGATACGCGACATTGATGATTAAAGTTACATCGTCGAAAATGGAGAAGAGAGGGAGAGAGAGAAGAGTACATTTGGTGCATACACGGAAAAAAAATTATTTAAAAATTTTAGATTTATAAGCGACAGATTAAAAAAAAGCAAAATATAAATATATAAATAATATATTTTTGTTGTACATTATTGTAAATATAAAATTTTGCATCGTTCAATAAAAATATACAATAAAAATTTAAAAATCGTTTCGTTTAATTTCCATATTCCTTCCTAAAAAAATTCCTTCCTAATCACTAATATCTGAAAAAGCCAAGATCTGTAAAAGGAGGGGGAACCAAAAGACGGAGCACACGCTAAATCTCGAGAAAAAGATCTCGAGTCGAGAGGAGGATGAAAAATAAAAAAGGAAAAGAGAAGAGAAGGGAAGAGAGGGGAATGGACGGAGTTGCTGCGAACGATCGATCGAATATTCCACCCTCGTCACGCGAAATACCTCGAATTAATGTTCGAACCCTCTCCTCCACCTTCCTTGGTCCTTCGGTTTCATAGCCGGTTGGCGGCGGCCTCTCGCGTGTCTGGGTGACAAAGGCTCGTGGCGCGCCGTTCTTCTCTCGCAGCCGAGCTTTCAATTACCCGGCAATTCCCGACGACGTCCGTTTAATTTCACCTCTCTCGTGCACGCAGCTTCCAATGTCGTCTTCCCGCCAGTGTTTTCGCCCGCCCGCACAATGTTGAACGATAAATTTTCAAACATCAGGCTCAAGCCCACCGTCGTGTTTCCACCGTCGCCGTGGAATTTCACCGAATTTCACCTCTTTTTTTTTTGCCCCGAGATTCCACGCAAGTATCCCTGCTGTTTTGCTGGGAGGGGTTGTGCACGTTTTTTGGATGGTTTGGAGTTTGTGGTTTTAACGGGGACAAGTATTGGGGTTAATTGTGGGAGAGAATAGAATTACAGGGGTTCTTCTGAGACGGGAGAATCAATTGTTGTCTGGTTGCGATGGAGGGAATTAGGATTATTTTTTTTAATTTGATGTTAAAGTATATAGAATATGGAAACGGATACAGGTAGAGGATAAAAGTGATATTTTATAAAAATGAGTCTGTTCATTTATTGTGGGAATAGTATATTTATTTAAGTAAATTGGGAATATATATTTCTTTTTCTAATTCAATTTAAGATAAAGTATATTTCAGATACAAATTAATTTGTAAATTCATTTTATATATTTGATATAAATTAGTTTTTATATATCTATAGTATAGCATATGTATTTTTGGTATGCATGTTTTCACGTACAGCTTCCATATTCTATTATTTATATCTTATTTATAGATTTTTTCTTTCCACTTGTAATTTCTGCATATATGGGTATTTAAAAAGATGTATATAAAGAGAGTAAATATAAAATAGGTAAGTATATTAAATTTTTTAATTAGTATTAAGTAAAATGGTGAAAAAATGATTTGCTCCTAAAAAATTTGAACATTGAATAGGTAAGTATATATAAGGTAAGTATGAAAGGTAAGTATATAATATTTCACGTTTTAACGTGCCACTTCTTTCAAGATTATATTCTTCTAATACAAAATTTTAAAATTCTCTGGAATATCTTACAGAATGAAATAAAATTTAAGATTTAAGAAATCGAAAAAAAAATTCTTCCAACATCACATTGATATTATTTTCTCTTCTTACAAAATCGTAAATTTCATAAAAAATTTTGGCCAATTTTTCGATTTTTTATTAGGAAAACATAATATAATAGGAGATCGTTAAAGAAATTTTTCCAAGAATTTCAGCAGTTCTTGGAAATGACGTCAAATTTTAAGAATTTCTGAAATTCTTGGAAATTTCGAAAAAAATTTCGAATAAATGAAACTTTGTCCAAAAATTCCACTTTGTATTAGGAGAACATGATACGATAGGAGGTCGAT